TGCATGTGAATAGCAATAATTACTTCCATGACTAATCAGATTTCAAGGTACAAAATAATACCTTCTAATTCAGTAATGATTAATATAGGTTCTAGTATGAAAACACAGCATGAAAATACAGATGAATACAGTATGAAAAATATATTTTTACTTAGCGAGGTAATGACCTCAGATTAAAAGGATAAAATATAACTGTTCCAGCTCTTTAATAATATGAAGACAATTATATTTAATCAGGAAGACCAATTCTCAAATTTCCATACCACTTTCCTCAACATTGCATTGTTAGGCTACTTCTACATTACAATTGTAAGTAACGTAGTAAGAAAATTAAAAAAAATATATCTACTAATATTAAATTGGCTTATCTCCTGATAATTTCTTAAGGTTATGATAATAATAAAAGGAAGGGTAGTCTTCAGGGCACCTTTGTCACACAACTTTTTTCATAAAATATAAAAATTTGAAGATTTTTTTTCCTGAAAACCTCAGACACAAGATTTCTTTAACAGAAATGGTTCTACCTCATGTACATTTCTGAGAGAATTTAGGTGCCTTAAACTGTGCCTTCAGTACAGTCTCAAGTGGCTACACATAGAAGAAATGGCATTGTTTTGGTCTCAGATCCATCCTGATATGAAATTGCTCTACTAATCTTGTGCTCATAATATCCTGTGTTTGAACTCCACATTTGTTAGAAAAAACATGCAGTACCTAAAAGAAGTGATAAGGGTAAAATATATTATTCTTAATACTGGTGTTGGGCACTGTGATTTCATGTACTGTTTGGCACCATGAAAGCAAGGCCTTATCTGTCTTCTGAGTCTGGCACATAAGCTGATCTTCCTGTATTCAGCTCTAAATGTAGGTCACACAGTCTGGTGTATGACAATGTCTACAGTCCTGCTGATCATAACACTGACATTATGCAAGTATGCAACAGGGAGACCACAATAACAGATTTTATTACAAATCAGGAAGCCAGGTTCCTACTGTACCTTGTGTTGACAGCAATATACAGTACAGTATGAATTATTTTGAAATGGACAGTACAATATAAAGTTACTTGAGGAATAATGAAAAATATTCTTTAATTACAAAGTTTTTAAAAAGACGATTGTGCAAAAGAGCAAGTCAGATATGTAAGAACATTTATTTACTGTATATAGAAAAAAATAACTGTAATAATAGTATTTTTATTACGATTATATTGTGAACCAAAAACTAGATATATTTGTTTTGCTTACTGGCTACAATCAATCTAGTAAAACTTAGTGGAGCTACAGTATGTGTTGTTTTATTATACTGATTTGTTCTTATTTTATTATGCAAATAAAAACTACTAAAAAGTGATCAGAAATATAAATACTACATACCTGTAATGTACTAATGTACTTATGCTTAAAAAAATATAGCATGTCAAATTCGGCAATTAAATGACTTTCCTAATGTAATAAGGTTTAAATTTTAAGCCTTCAATACAGTTATTATGTGTAAGATCATTTACCTTTTTACTGATATGCTAAATCAACCTTGTGAGCATTATGAAACTGTATTGCAACTGGACAGCTCAATCCCAATAATCACACATTAAATTAATGCTGCACAACCATACATTTCTGTTTTCATCCTACTTATTAATTTATGCCACAACATTCATTAAACACATCAATACAACAAACGTATAGGTCTCATTCACTGCTCTTAACAATAATAAATCAATTACATCATGGGCCCTCAGGAATGGAGCAGATAAAAAAAGAGTTATACCCTTTCAAAATAACCTAAATAATTACATGAACACATACTGTATCTATACCATTATCAGTCATTTTTTTTTAAATGCTTCTTTAATAATTAATGTTTTGTTGGTGGAACATTTAATGCCATCATCATTTAGATACGTCTATATACTCAGGGACAAGAAGACAAGACATCCATCTAATCATTCATTTTCAATAACCACTAAGTTCAGAACAGGGTTGATCAGATGGTTTACCCCACATGGGCACAAGTAGTATACACCCTGGAAGGGATACCAGACCTTCAGAGAATACACATGCATTCACACCTAGACAGCATGTCTTTGAACTATGGCAGGAAAGCAGAGCTGCTGGACAATCCCCATGTGGCAATGGGGAGAACGTGCATACTCCACACAGAAGGTACCCCAGTCTGCAACGAAATCCACAGCCAAAGAGCTGTGAGACAACAATGCTAACGGCTATGTCGCCCTGGACAAAGCATCAATGCTTTAAAACTGACACTCTCAGCACCTACGTAATTACAGGCAACAGTAATGTTTTTGACACTCCCCAATCACTGAAACAGGTACTAATATCATAACATGATGAGAAAGATATAATGTTTTCAAAGTCCTCATAAAAACATAGCAACATCTTCCCTTTCTGTTTCATATTTTCTTCTATCACTATTAAAGCCACAACCCTCGTGTCTCATAATATAAAAACTGTATTCTTACCAATAACTTAAGAAAGCAACTACTTTATTGTCTAAAGGAATTCACTAAAAGGACAACAACACAAGTCACACAATGCAGCTTGTAACCTAGATTAAAAAATGAGACCAAAACTAAACAATGTTAATTATTTAGAAATAAACTATATGTGAATTCAACAGTCATTTACATGCCCAACAGTTATCTATTATTCAATATCTTGGATTTGGGACAAATTAATCCTATCCACTACATTCAATGCATCTTAGACTTCAGATACTGTACATACTTTTTCAAATATTATTGGTTAAATTCACAAATACAACTTTAAAGAACTTGATCATGGCAAGACTTGATCACACCCTTAATGTTAACAGAAAGACACGCTTTTGACTTGAGAAAAGACCAAGAAAGATAATCCAATCAGTGTCTCATCATCCCCCTTCTTTATGTAATACAGTGTGTGGAAATGGTTTTCTGGTCTCGCACTCAGATGCAGGGTCACCAGCCAAAATAACCAATAAACTAACCTAAATCATTACAGAATATGAAATGGCTACATACTCTTGTCACACAACTTGTAACTCTTCCAATAGGTAAATAAAGAGAATTTGAAATACGAACTGGAAACCTAAGTACAATATTTAACGTTTTTATTTAGGTATTCTAAAAATGCAGGAGAATGATTAAGGGGGCACTGTTATTAATGTATGTTCCTTCGTGTCCTGATTTTCAAACCTTATTTTCAAACATCTGCAGTCAATTTGTGTTATTATGCTTTGCATCTGCAATTAAAACTACAGTAGATACTATGAAAAGGGGCTCTGGAGCATACTGTAGTTATCACCTGAGAAGTGCATCGGCGAGTACATGTATTTTGCTTCCACAATATTTAAAATAAAATGGGAATTACGTATGCAGGTATACTGTACCATCTATTTTCTAATCTATGGAAAACAGCAATACCTTAGAATTTCTCCACTGCATTCATAACACCTAGGACAAGCGCTATTGCATTCCGTAGTATTCCGCGTGGACAGCATATCGAGACCAATTCGCTGACCAGCTTGCTGTGTTCAAACTCTTCCAAGACATTCTTGATTCTTTTATTCCCTGATAAGGTTCTGCAATCACACCGCACCAGAGTGGGGCTGAAGTACAGAGGATGTGTACGTTTATCTTTCACAGCAAGGAGCAATGCTTCGTTCTTTAAACACTAGAAAACGGGAAATTTGAGAAACGGCAAATACTGTACTGTACACAGCATACTGTATACAATACGTCTGTGTGTAAAGCCTGGTATTGTAACTTCGACAATGAAAATGACACTTAAAATAAAAACAACGGAAATACAATTATATACATAGTAAGGCTGCAGTGACGCTGAGTTAATCGTCGACAATACGAATCTGGTAATGACAAAGTGGATATAACGTACTGTACGCACGCCTGAAACTTGTTCGTCTACCGCGACAAAGGCTAAATACGAAAATTAAATCGGCACACTTATGAAGTTCACTCGTCACCTGTCCCGAGACACACTCAAAGCATTTAAATTACAGAAAACAAAAATACAGACTCTACGTTAAGGAGAACTGTTATTTACAAAAGCATACACATAATGAAAATAAAACATTGTTCAAGCCTTTGTTTTGTTAAAGAATACAATACTGTGCGATACAGTACAGAGGTCTGTTCTAAATATAGTCAATCAATTCTTTATGAAATAACGCAGGCAGAGATATATAATTTAGTCTTTTTCTCTTTTATTGCAAAGTCACAGCAGGTATTAGAATTCAAATGTACATGTCCTTATGAAAATACCTGCGAAAGGCACTCGGATGTTCATTTCATCTTCGTTGACAAGGAAACCAAAAACGCACTTTATTTTTTTCCAAGAAACATTGCACATCCACTGTTTGTTACAACTAATTCAAAAATAATAATCTCAAAAATATTTTGTTAATCAAATATGCAAAAGTATTAGAAATTCAAAAATTAAAGAAAAAAAAAACAACCTGTGATCATTAAGCTGCAAGAAAAGTTTCAGGTTAAAATATCACCTGGTTTTTAAAAATTATTTCCTCATAGAAAAACAGGAGTAAAATAAAATTAGATGCGTACTCAGTGGCATGCACTGAGCTCACAAAATCACAAAACTCTGAAACAACACTGCAAAATACAAAGCAAAGCATAGCTACAGCAAAAGTCAGAACGAGAGAAAATGAAAAAGAAAAATGTTTAAAAACCACAAGTAGACATGCGTTAAAAATATATACAACTGCTACCCGCTTTTATAAAAACCAGTTGCATATTTTACAGGTCTGCAAGTATTTGTTTTCCAGTGACTGTCGCTACTGAGTCACACAGGTCTATTCTGTGCACCCCCAGTTCAGAATCACTGCATGCTAAAAACTTGGAGCCTGGAAAAAAAAACGCTAAAAACCATAAATTCTTATTTGTCAACACCAGCGAAAGAGGAAAAATAAAAACAAAAAAGGACAAAAATGTTTGTAAAACTGCCATTGAAAACTGTACTCACCGAGCGGGAGTAAAATGTTGCAATAAAAATTGAGATTTGGTATAAAACACAGTATGGCGGTGGAAGCTGAAATGAAGCGCTTTTCTCTCAATCTCTGCCTCGGGCACTGTCATGTGACTCGGATTCAGTCTCCAGCAATGAGCGTGCAGGGGTAGCCCTCGGCAGCCAAGTACTATCTTAACTGGTAAAGGCTCTCCAAAAGTAAAACGGGTACCTAGTCCTTATCATCCTGCAATTTTGGCAGAATGGACTGTGTGGTTTTCTTCAGGTTTTTAAAGACGCAGTGCCCCCTTTTTGTCAGTGCCTACGCAGCCAGGGGAAAACGCAATTAATTGTACTGTACATATTCATTTGGTTTGATTTGTTGTTGAATCTAAAGGCAATAACTATGAGATACGATCTGAGCTAATTTTATACAGTATGTGTATTCTATATATATTGTACATAAATAATGTTTATGTCCGTATCTACACTGTACATACTGTACAGTATGTGCATCTGTGCTGTTGTGTACCGAGCTGCAAGTGCAACGTGCAAACACTAAGCAGCCACACGAAAATAAAATATAATAATAATAATAGGTTTATATATATAATATAGGCTTTCACCTGCATTTTTGGGGGCAATCATTCCCCACAACTGATAGTCCCCAGTCAGTGGAAGTCTTTCAAGACAAAGTCCTCTTCTTAGGCATGTGCAGTACAGTAAAATTAGATGCTCATAAATTAAAACCTGGAAGTGTCTGTCCTGGAAACTGCACATTTTCTGCCCAAAGCTATAGGCTTGAAGTGTGTGAAAAAATAATTGCTAATTATTATATTTTCTATTATTTTGACTGTGATGCTGCCGAGTGTTGTGTTGTAGGTACTGTATGTAGCTCAACCCTTGTAAGCTTAAAGCTACATTTTGTATATATTTTTAACATGAAATGTTTATTGTCGCAAAACCCTTTCCTTTTCAGTAATTCACATGATCCTTATCATAGATGATTTATAGAGAACATGAATGTAGTTATTATTGTAATTAAACCTGTCGTTTAATGGATTCTAAGTTAAAAAATGCTTGGGACACAGACCCAAGCAACAAATAGCAGCAAATGGGACACTTTTATTACATTAAAAGGTCCATATTATCCATTATGTACAGTAGATACAGTACTGTTGGAAAAAATGATTTGAGATAAATTTGCTCACACATCTACCAATAGAACTCGATACATCCATAAATATGCATCCATCAAAGGGCCCATGAAACAGAAGTGCCTTATCCTGGCCCTGCTCAATGGAAAAGCATGAACAGTGCTCATCTCCTCAAAACTGGACTTCCCCAATGGTGGGTGACCACCGCTAGACTTTGCCCTACAGTATGTTATCACTAACTGTGGCTGAAAAGCTGATCAACACATTTGTGTTCTCCTGAATTGACTACTGTAATGCTCTACCAGCTGGGGTATCTAAAACTACATTGAACAAACTGCAGTATGTCCACAATTCGGCAGCCAGAATCCTGACCAGGTGTAGTGCAAGTGATCACATTACTCCTATCCAGGAATCCTTGCACTGGCTTCCTGTCAAATTCTGTGTGGACTTCAAAATCCTCATGCTCACCTATAAGGCTCTGCATGGCTTGGCACCTCAGTACCTGTCTGAACTATTATCTTCCTACTCTTCTAATTCCAGTCTCCTAACTGTCCCCCAAGCCCATCTACACTCTATGAGTTACAGGGCCTTCTCCTGTTGTGCCCCAAAGCTCTGGAACTCTCTCCCCAAGGATATCAGAGTCACCTTCTCTAAACTCCTTCAATGCCAGACTCAAAACCTTCTTGTTTAGAAGAGCCTTTACTTAACTGGCTCCATTCTTTACCCCTCTGCTCCTACTATACCTAGTACCATCCAGGGTCTCTTTTGTGTGTTGTAATTGTATTTTATCTTGTGTATTCTTTTTATGTATTGTTGTTGTCATTTTGTTAAGAGCTGTGAAAAGACACCTTTAAAGGTGCTACATAAAATAAACTTTATTATCATTATGTTTTTCTCTGCCAGTGGGATAGTCAGCTCTCCGGGTGTGGGAAACAACAAAACGTCCACAAAAAATCCACAGTTCAGCACAGTCATTGTGTAGAAGTTAAGCTCTGTGCCTTCGTCTTGCAAAATATTTTCTTGCAAAAATGGAGTCTTGCCCTTCCCATGAGAGAGATCCAGAGGCAGAACTAAGGGTTAATATTTTTGCCATTGGCTTATGGTGGGCAATCTGTATTTACACTTGAGACACTGCTTTTCATAGTGCTTAATTATTAAGCAGCGTTGGCTTGCAGAATTTTCTATCACATTAGCAATGTACTTTCGTGATTCTCCATGACTTTACTACAGGTGAGTTTAGCATGGTCTTTAACAATATCCATGGTTTCTTCATTGCCACAGAGACTGGTTGTATGTTGTACTGTATGACTTGTTACTGGTAGACTGAGGAAGGTAATTCCCAGCTGTGTACTGTCAGTACACACTTTCCAAATCTAAATTGTGTTCTCAATATGAATTATTCTATATGGGTATGAAAGATACGGTAACTGTCCCATATTGTCCTGCACTGCTTAATATCTAACCACTTTCTTACATCAAAAACAAATAAAGGTCTTAACTGCATAGAGAAAAAGTGTGCGAAGGGAACACAAAACATTTAATAAGGTATAATAATGATTACCTGCAGTTTTGTACAGTATATGTTTGGAAAATTAAGGTAAACCAAAACACATGAACACACTTTGTCTGGAGGAGCTCTCCAATGAATATAAAACGATCTTCATTAAAAGGACACTTGTAAAGTGGGTATTCATGATCAGTTGGAACATGGACCATTTTGAAAGAAGCTTTGCAAATTTCAAATGACCATAGGAAGCATTTGTTTATACCTTATCAGTTAGTGAGAGTGTTTTAAAGATCTCGTTTCTGATACAGCACCAGATTGTCAACATAAAAAGCATAAACAATCAGTGAATCCTTGCATATCCCTGCAGAAGTAGACATGTTACTTCTTATTTGCTACTTTTCAGAAAAGAAATTGTTGAAGCTTTTTTTGTTGTCTTATACTAATAGAAGGAACAACAAGAGAAGAAGAAAAAGTGTTGAAATAATGAACCAGTACATAACCACAAAATACTTTTTGTGGCTCAGCTATATTGATATCAGCATAGATCATTGGATAAGTGCTATTACTGGCAATAGGAATGGTTTGGCAACAAAAATAAAGTAGTACCAAACAGTGTTTTTGCATAGAGAGCCGTTGACATGGAAAGAACTGAGTCCAACCAGACATTAATGCTATTTTATATTGTATTGTATAAGTTGTGAATTTGATCAATCCAAGGCCTCTGAACTCCCAAATTTGTACTCCACTGTGAAATGCAATTGGTGCAGACTATCAACAACTTCTTTCTTATGAAGTTCATTGCTTTTCTCTTGAAATCTTTGTTGTGAAGAGTTTCTACTTCAGTGAAATGAAAACCCTTTAAAATCCAACAGGGATCGGATCAGTGATCTATTTTCAAATGCTGCTGAGGAGGAACCATTGTAAAGTCTAAATGTTAGGGAAGAAGTCAAACAGATTGAAGTTAGCAGTGACATTTTCTTGTTTCAGAAGTACAATAGTAGTTGTGAATGAAACATCTCAATGTTTTAGGTTAGATCTCTCAACTAAATACCCAGAGCATACCTGAAAGGCAGTGCAACTGTCTGCAACCATGCAAATATGCGATTCTGGATTGTCTGCCTTGGCTGCCAATTAAAATAAAGCACAAAGCAAAACTGGATATGAAGAATGAAATTACTGTACAGTAGCTTACCTTTTGGGTGTGCAATAAGGATTGACAACCTATGTAAAATAACCGTTTTAGGTGTCTCATTGAAATGCAAAGTGTTCTGATATTCATTATCTGAGTTTCAACATACTGTAAGTTTTGAGTTGCTTTTTAGGGTCATTCTGAGCACTAAGATACCAAACACCTATATGTCAGTGTTCTGTTCTGTGGCCCCCTGACATGCTGGTTTTCATCATTCATGATTGTGATAATTTTGTTGGCATTGACAATTGCTTTATTCACAATATAGTCAAGTTCTTAAATCAAAAGTGACTGAATTATCTTTTCTTGCATATGAAATGCATTTTTAATGTGACCTTTTAGGATAATGATGTATTATTTATGTTGGTTAATATCTTCTTGTGCTGAGATGAGTCACAAATGCATAGTGTACCATCTATTTAAAGCAGTGGCATTTAGCTCTACTAAGTATGATTAAGTGCCTTTGGTTTTGTGATTAATTTTGATGTTTCCTTTGTTCTTTCATCTGTCTTTGAAAATGTTTTGTTTTTTCAATCTTTTTTTTTCTGTTTTGAGTAATGTGTCATGGGAGGTTTATCATATAGGTTTATATAAATAAGGATATCATTAACAATATGATTTTTTTCCAAGAGCACACCACAAAAAACAGTTTTCTCACATTTTTCTGTTAAGTAGTTTTTTGTTACTTATTATTATTTGTCAGTGTGTAGGATCTGGACCTGTAGTTAGTGTACAATAATCAATCGCATACAATACTAAATACGATAATAAGATATGAAGAGCCAGACAGTTTCTGATGCAATTTTACCTTTAAAACTAACCTCCGTAACTTCAGAAGTCATGCAGTTATTAAATAAACCCCAAATTTAAAAGGATATTTCTTGTATTTAAAAGGAAACTTACATGAATAAACAAAAATTAACAATTACCATATTTCGAAACTAAATAAGCCATAAATACACATAAAAGGGAAAATAATTATACTTTATACAGTAGAACTCAATTCATGCACACCAAAGAACTGTATGAGTGTAACAGAAGTTTAGTTCACAAAATGCCAATTAAATTTACAGCCTTGGAAAAAGTGTTGCATATTGCTTTTTAAAAAAAAGAAAAAGAAGCAACTGTTGAAAGTTATTTCAGGTTAAAATCTGAAAACCCTTCTGCTAAGCTTTGTGCACCAATATTGAACTGTATTTTACAAAGATATAAAGCTTAACAATGAATACAGATGTTTTGTCACATTTCAGTTGATCAATATTATTTTGGGGAAATAGTGTTAAGAAAAGCTGGGGGGGTAAATAAAGAAACATATTTTATTGTTATTTCAATCCTCTGACACACCCTAGAATGGGTTGTCATAAGCAACGATGTTTATAGGCAGATCT